TAACTCTGTCTCATATATCCTTGTGGACCCTGCGTGTGCACATTGTTACTGTGCTGCAAATGGCTTTTGGATTTGAATCTAGACTTGTACAAATACTCTGAAATGATGTTTTTATGTATTTTAATAATGTTACTGTTTTATGGTGTAGTCTAGATAGGATACAGCTGCGGAAACGTCATCAATATAGCATCATTTTTGTAACACTGTATAACAATAATTAATAATTTGACAATACTCTTATAGTTGGGTTTCGGGTTGGGGTAGATTTTAATAAAATACAATAAATAAGAAGATTAATGAATAATATAAATAGTTATCGTTAAATTCCAGCTGCAACCGTATCTGGTCCAGCAACAACTTTGTTCTATGACCAAAACAAGGCATATTTATTCACAAAGTGTTCATTCGGATGTCAGATCAGTGTTAAAACAAAACACGGGACAAGAACAGAGCATATAATGTTCTATAAAACAGAACATAGATGTTCAAACCTAATAGCTGCATCAGCCTGGTTCAAGCCCATTATCTCTGTATGCTAGTCAGGAACTCTTACTGCTCCACTAAATCTCTTGAAACTTCAACTCTACAACGTGGGGTTTAATACCTTAATTTGTTTAACTGTTATTTTGCTGAAACTGTTCCACAGCAATACAAAAAAAAAATACGACTTGGTGGGTAGAGTGAGTTTTTGAAACGTTTTGAAGCTTCGACACATTTGCCCAACACTAATCACGCTTTGCCCACCACTAATCAGAAATGGTAAAAATTTATGCTTGTTAAAAGTTTCGGAAGTGGGTGTGGCAAAATGGCTCGACATCGCCACCTATGTACTTTTGAAAAAGTGGCCCCCAAGCACACATACGGAAATTGGCACACACATTAAACATGCCCGTACCAACAAAAAAGTTGCAGCAAAATCTGAAGTCTGATTGTTATAACTTAGATGTGCATTGTCTGTTCTACCTCAAAATACACATGTTTGGTAACAGTCCTGACCTGAACTTGTTTACATGCAAATATCCAGTTACGGTCATAGCACCACCTGCTGGCAACAGGAAATATCATGTATTACATTATTACAAACACTTCCCAGAAATATTATCTGATCAAAACCAAATGCTATTAGCGAATCCAAAGGCCTTTGTTATGTTAAATTACGAAGATCTAGAGTTTTCTTTGAAGAGCATGTCTGTGGCGGACTAACAAAATTTAGCCTTTCGCAATAGGGAGGAAGTACTTCTCATCCACACAATGTTCGATCTGCCTGAAAATTCTCTCTTGAAGCCATCTCTATGCTAATATTGAATCACTGTCATAGCGCCACCTGCTGACAGAAGGAATTTTGGCATAAATCAGTTATTTTCTCAGTTGTTTTTTTTTTTTTATATATACCAGACCGGGCCACGGTGAGCTTGGGTGTGAGGTCCCTTTCATCGCTGCTTGCAGCTTTAATTTTACTTGGTTTTCTTTTTTGGTTTGTTGACTTTTGTATGATTTAGTTTGGCTCTCTGTTTAGCTTTGTTTTTAGTTTTTATTTTATTTTTGTGTTTTATTGTTGTTATTGTTATTGTTGTTGTTTTGTTTAATTTAGTTGTTTTATAATTTGAAGATTTGTTTTTTATTTAAATTTAAAAAATAAATGCCAGATTTCTTGAGCAGAAAATTCTTTTATAATAAGGCAGAGTAACACATACTGTAAAAAATGTAATGACCTAAAGTCTTGACAACAAAATTTTTTATGTTGCTGTAACATTTTAGTAAGTTAATCGGGTTCTTTAAGTTATACACAGTTGAACTTAATATCGTAGTTTGATTGATGTAAGTTGAGATCACTAGAAAAGGTCATTGGTTCAACAAAATACACTTAAAGGCTGATTTATACTTCTGTGTCAAACACCGGCGTATGCTACGGCGCTGACGCATAGCCCTTCGCCGTGGCCATCGCAGTCACTGACGTGCACCTCTCAAAAAATGTAACTACACGTCGCAACGACGCGTAGCGTAAGCTCTTTGATTTGTCGGCTTAGTTGCACTGATGAGTCTGGGCGGGACCGAGAGCCGCGCGAATGGCGCGACGCCGCGCGAGCGATTGTTTACAAGTGTGGAGTACCGTGAAGGAGCTCCGGATGGAAAGTTTTGTTTTGTGTTTACCTCATAGTTAAAGTTGTTGCACGTCCACCGGTTCCTGCCTCAAAATGAGCGAGTTTGAGCCACTTGTACATCCCGGAAGTGTTCAGGAAAAGCAAAAAAGTAGCGAAGAAACTCGACACAGAGAAACATTTACACCTCACTGCCAACTAGCGTTTCGGAAGTGTTAATGCAGACCAACAGAGACAGCGCGCAGAAGTATAAATGCACAACCACGCGCGTTGCCTGCGCCGTGGGTTACGCCGGTCACCTGACGCAGAAGTATAAATCAGGCTTAAGGCAGCAAGATTTTTTTTACAGTGCATGAGAAGCTAGGAGAGATAGGTAAGTCATGGGAACTTTTAAATTTAATTTATGACATATCTTGTAATCACAACACACTTATCCTAGAAAAATCCGCAAAGCACGGCCTCTCATGACTAACTGCTCCATTATAACAGTGGCTTTTGAAAGTCCTTTTAAAATGTTTTTCCTTTTTTTTCAAGCAACAGAATAGGCAGTTGTTCAAAAGCACAATGTGTTCGGAGAAGTCAGTGTATATTTGTTCTTACAAACAGCGCTGTGATAAAAGATCCAGTGGTTTGTAATCCTGTTCACCTGAATTGTTTCAATGTTCTGACCAACAGACACACACACACACACACACACACACACACACACACACATCATCCCACAAACTCTTCCTATACCACAACATGGTTTCCACAATCACTCTTTTTTTTTTTTTTTTTTACTTCTCGTCTGAATACAATTTAAGGATGTATCTCTGCTTTGATCAGCATCTGTGCTCCATCTCTCCTTTCTTTCCTCTATCCTTGCTTTTCTTCTCCTCTGCTCTATGTAGTCACAACTCTTTCACATTTCCACACAAAGTCCAGTCAGGAGAAAAGACCCTTAGTCTTTAAAGGGGCCACAGACAATCGCACGAGCCTGACTGCACAAAAGCAACAGTAGTTATTCACAGTCGTCAGTCTCAGCAGGTAGACCTGCAGCTGGGTCTTAACAAACAGGATACACACACACACACACACACACACACACACACACACACACACACACACACACACATACACACTCACAAGAATAAAAGAGCCAGTCCATTGTATGTAGAGGAACTCCACACATTCAATTCTATAAGATACTCTTTCAGTCGTCCCTAGTTAGTGTGTCTGACAAAACAATAGGATTCAGTATGTGGCCATTACTGCTGACAATGACAAGGAACCATCTCATACGTCAAACATCCAGTGGGGTTGTTTGTCTGGATGGACATGGTTTTGTTTGTTATCTGGTATTCAGATGTTAATAATACAAATATTTCCCAAATGATTTTTACTAGAGCAAAAACATTTTCACAGTATGTCTGATAATATATTTTTTTCTTCTGGAGAAAGTCTTATTTGTTTTATTTTGGCTAGAATAAAAGCAGTTTTTAATTTTTTTTTAACATTTTAAGGTCAAAATTATTAGCCTCTTTAAGCTACTTTTTTTTCTTGGGATTTATTTACTTTACTACACTAAAAAGTGATTAGTTACTTAAAGCGAGTAAACCAATTGCCTTAAAAGCAACAATTTACCTTTACAAAAACTATGCAAGTAAACCCATTTTAACTTTGTAACTTAAGTTGGCTTCATTTTTATAATTATGCTAATTGTGCTCACTCTTTTAAAATCAACTAATCCTTTTTACAGTGTCAGACTGTCTTTGCACGTCTGTTTTCAAATAATTACTGTAATTATTACAATATTACATATTTGGTGCTTCATTAGGTCTATAAAATCTATAATTATAGCCTGTATGGAATTTAGAAGATACACTGGCGTCTGTAAGAGCAGATTTATTTTACTGTATATCATTTTGTTAGATACAGAAAAGCTGGAAAAAACTAATATAATAAAGGTGTATTTTAGTAAAGTCATTAGTTTTATATATTTTTTTTAAATTAGTACAATTTGCATAATTATAAAAAAGAAGTCCTCTTTCAAATTACATTGGGTTTACTTACAGTTGCAATCAGAATCATTAACCCCCCCTGAATTATTCGCCCCCTGTTTATTTTTTCCTCAATTACTGTTTAACGCAGAGAAGATTTTTTCAACACATTTCTAATTATGATAGTTTTAATAACTCATTTCTAATAGCTGATTTATTTTATCTTTGTCATGATGACAGTAAATAATATTTGACTAGATATTTTTCAGGACACTTCTATACAGCATAAAGTGACATTTAAAGGCTTAATGAGGTCAATTAGGTTAACTAGGCAGGTTAGAGTAATTTGTCAAGTTATTGTATAACGATTGTTTGTTCTGCAGACTATTGAAAAAAATAGCTTAAAGGTGCTAATAATTATGACCTTAAATGTTTATAAAATAAATAAAATTGAATTTAATTAAATTGTTAAAAAATAAAAACTGCTTTTATTCTAGCAGAAATAAAATAAATAAGACTTTCTCCAGAAGAAAAAAATATTATCAGCCATACTGTGCATCATTTTGGAAACATTTAAAAAAGAAAAAAACTCAAAGGGTGTTTAATAATTTTGATTGCAACTGTACATTATTTTGTAAAGTCTACTTGTTGCTTTTAAGACTTTAAGTTACTAATCACTTTTTGGAGTGTATTCATTTAATTTGATTATTATTAGCTTTGTCTTGAATGTATCTACATACATTCATGTTCATTTGATTTTGTTTTAGATATTTAATCTTCAATATATTGTCTCAGATTTTGGATATAATCATGTAAAAAATATGAATATTGTTATTCTTTTTTTCACCAGAAATTAAAAATGTTTAAGACCCAAAACAAGCTGAAGATTAGTTTTTTAACCATGTCTTCTTTTTTTAAGGATGAACGTGAAGCCAGAGAAATGGTCAAGAGAGAACAGGATGAAGCTTATCGTGTGTCTCTAGAAGCTGATCGTAAAAAGGTTTGTAAATGTTGAATTTAATGTTATTAATAATGATAATAACTATTTATTAATTTTCCTTTGGCTTAGTCCCTTTATTCATCAAGGGTTGCCACAGCGGAATGTACTGCCAACTTATCCAGCATATGTTTTACACAGCAGATGCCCTTCCAGCTGCAACCCAGTACTGGGAAACATCCATACACACTCATTCACACACATACACTACGGCCTGTTTAGTTTATTCAATTCACCTATACCCGCATGTCTTTGGACTGTGGGGGAAACCAGAGCACCCAGAAGAAACTCACTCAAACACGGGGAGTACATGCAAATGACCCAGCCGGGATTTGAACCACTGAGCCACCGTGCCGCACTAATAATAATTATATATATATAATTATTTCACATTTTTGTTATTTAGGCTTCAAGCATGACATCTTGGACAACCAGTTTTTGCTTATCCAAATTAATTGATTCAGTTAGTCATTTTTATTTAGGATCCATAATTAAATGTGTATGAAGTATGCATAATTGTTGTATACATTTGTTTGGTGAGATGATGTTGCCAGTTAATTTGATTGATAAATTATTTTCGATGTTACTATTTATACAGAGAGAAGCGCAAGAGCGAGAAGAGGCGGAGCAAGTACGTCAGGAGCGAATCAGGAAGGAGCAGGAGGAGGAACGAGAGGTAAAGTTTTCACCGGTTTAGTGACTGTTTCAATAACATGGTTTATACGAGAAGCTCAAAAGTTGGTGCCAAGAAAATCTAAAAATGACCCTAAAGAATTCACCTTTAAAAGCGGCATGATACAGGATGTGTAATCATGATCCTTCTTTGCAAAATTCACAGAAATCTACTAGTTTCCTTGTTATTTTCTAGGTAGCGCCCATTGAAGATTTGTTTGTTGGCAGTATTTCACTGATTATACGTTCATTGTGTTCTATCTATTACCTAATGTCCTAGTTAAATTGTTCAAAAGACCTTTTATTGCTTTCCAAAACTGCTTAAATATTTATATCAAAGTTTTTTCTCATCCACTGAAGCAGAAAGAACTAACACAAGAATGACCTTACATTTAAACCTGCTGATTTTTCTCATATACATTTAATGCATTACTGGTTATTCTCAACGTACTGTAAAGCATTCTAATGAGATTTCATGCCTCATAAGCTGACAAATAGCAGTGACAGTCATGAAGCTTCATGCCCTGTCGTAAGCGTTCTCATCAAACACACAGTTGACATTGTTACACAAATCACACACATATTTGCGATCCGCCCGTGTACCCCTGCAGTGTTTGCGCTATTGCCTCGTGTGTGAGCTGTACAAAACGACAGGTGCACGTCAAAAAGCATTGACACACTCACAAAGACTCCATCAAAAAGTGTCACGGAAAGCCAAATCTCACCTGTAGATGTAGGCGTGAGCAAATATACCCGTTCCCTATCAGCTGATCAGCAGAATACAATACCACTGTATTAACATTCAAATAGATTACAGGTGGTGTGCTCTGCTTTTTTTCATCATGAAGTGTACTTGTTCGTTTAGTGTGCTTAGAAGTTTTTATTTAGATATTTGCTCACCAAAAACACACACACACACACACACACACACACACACACACACACACACACATACCACCGTTTGTTTATTCAGCAGAAAATACTAACCGGACCAGCTCAGCTGAAACTGCTATACGAGATAATTTGTCACTTTTAGGCTATACTAAAGCATGTAATTAGTTCAATCTCCTATTGCCATGCTACCATTCATGTCAAGACGTGGTGTGTAGGCTACAGTAAAGACCTACATGCATATGATACCTTACAATAGCTCGCTTTAGCTTGCTGCAGACAAAGCTTTTAATATGAGACATATTGTGGAGAGGTAAACACAAAGACGACCTGGAGCGAAATAATTGTGTCAGATCTGTTTTCAGTCCTGTGTGTGTGTGTGTGTGTGTGTGTGGGAGAGAACTGTTAACTCAGCAGCAGCCTAGTGTTTTAATGAGAGCAGGGTTTAAAGTTGTTCACCTGCTGTCTGTAATGAACCCAAAGGGAGAACACGCTTGGTACACACACACACACACACACACACACACACACACACAAACGTTTATACTGATAAAATCACCCGCACTAAACTCCTGTTATTTATGCAGTCTCTCCTCCCATGCTGGTCTGTAAAACGTCACGCTTTTGCTCGTGAATCTCCAAGCTGTGAAAAGGGTGACATCTCGCCGATTCCTGCGCCTTAGAGGTCACCTGTAAAGCTTCACGACATCTCAACCATGTTTGGATCCACACACAATCATAATTAACCTCCTGCTCTTAAAGGAAAAGATTAGATTCAGAGTTTGCGCACTTTTTTTTTCTGCAGCTGCTCCTGTTTTTCCGTGAATCTTTATGGATGTACCATTTCTTCTTATGCGACCTTGTGTGTGTGTGTGTGTGTGTGTGTGTGTGTGTGTAAACAAGGTGGTAAGATCTTGTCCACCTGGAGTCTATCCAAGCACGCGTGCACTGTCACACACACCCAAACCACAGCACCTCGGTGGCTCTGTGGTGACAATGGGCCCACTGGAGGGAAACAATCAGCAGAAGTGTATAGAGCAGTAGAGAAGGGAAATGCTCAGTGATTTGGACTCTTTTGTGACCCAGACAGCGTATGAAAGGCCGAGGGGGAGTGGTGATGTCATTATTCTCGACCGTCAGGTGCTACACACATGCACACACTCTCTGTTTGTTTAGCGCAGTGAAAAGGATGCTCCTTAGTGCCCTTTGTGCACCGGGACCAGGAAACACACATACACGTATGTGCACACACACATTCACCCTACGCAGGGCTGGGGAGAGACGCCGTTCGGCCCCCAGAGGGCTTTTTACACGCGGCCCCTACCTAAGGGAGCGGGGCCGGCACGCGCTCGCACAAGCCACCTGCTGCTAATGAGCTACTGTTGTACACTTTGATGAAATATAATTGCATTATGGTGTGTAAATAAAGCCTGCGTGTTTTGTCACAGCATATGCTGCCCAGTGTCACAACAGGAACAACAAGCTGGAGTTGAAAAGCCCAGAGGAGCGTCAGGTCGTGCTCCTTGTCACTGGAGACGCCGCTATTCCCTCACCTCTCACTTTCGCTCTTGGTCGCTTTAAACGTGTATGCGACTTCTCGCTGCTTCCCCTCCCCGTCCCTCGCTTTTCACTTGCTTATTTATTTTTTTAACAGTGTGATATTTCTATGACGTGCAAAATGGAAAGATTTGTGTGTTGCTTGTTTGTGGCACGATCAAGCTGGGATGGAGAACTAAATTTAGGAGCTTTAATGCACAACTTGCATGTGTGTTTTTTTTTATCCATGCTGATTATTTTTTATATTTGCTAAAATGATCATGTTGTCATTTTGATATTATGAATCACCAAATCTAAAGTACAACTGTTATAAAGTGTGATTAGATTACCTTGGTGCATCATTTTGTCTAATGTTGCATTTTGTCATCCCCTGTGCAGGCTATCCGTCTCTCATTGGAGCAGGCCCTTCCACCAGAGCCCAAAGAGGAGGGTGGAGAGCCAATCAGCAAACTGCGCATCCGGACGCCAAGCGGTGAGTTTTTGGAAAGACGGTTCCTGGGCACCTGTAAACTCCAAGTCTTATTCGACTTCGTCGCCTCCAAGGGCTACCCATCCGACGAGTTTAAACTGCTCACCACCTTCCCACGCAGAAATGTAAGTTTATACATGCACTCAAAGTTTTACTGTGTATACTGAAAGCTCTTAAATATACCTTATCCCTGAAAATACAACTCACAGTCATTTCTTAATAAATACATGATTATGATTGATTAATAATAATGTATAAATTAATTAGTTAATTACATTACATAGTAATGATAAATTTATTTATTTATAAATATTAAAATCTAAAATATTTTTCTAAAATATAAAGTAATTTATAAATATAAAAAAACAATATAATCTTATATTTGTTTATCGTATTTACATATTTTTTCATTACTATTTCATATACCTTATATATGCTTAATACATTCATTCATTCATTTTCTTTTCGGCTTTGTCCCTTTATTAATCCGGGGGCCGCTACAGCGGAATGAACCGCCACAACAACTCAGATTCATTTCTTGATAAATAGTCGGTCATGATTGATAAATAATAATGTATATATTAATTAGTTAACATTAAGTGATAATTATATATGTGTTTATTTATAAATATTGAAATATGATATAATTATATTGTCTATTTATCTTTATATATTTTTATTACTCTTTTTATATACTTAAACATATATTCAGGGTGTACTCACACTATGTACAGTTGCCTTGAACCTTTTGTCTCCTCTGATGGCCCACACTCACATTGCATTCAAGCCTGAGCAACGTCATCGATGATGCACTGTTCAGTTTAAGAAGCGCTCTCACTCAGCACAGTGGGGATTTCTTTAGTTACATCCTTTCAGTCGTTTGTGATGCAGTGACACGCGGTCAAATATTTTGCAAAACAGATCAGCCATTTTTGATGCTCATAAACAATCATAAAGTCCTGGTGCTGAAGGATTTAGGAGGTTTGCTGAAGGTGCAGCTGTTGTGCAGTGAGGGGTTTGCGTCTTTAATAATCAACAACAGTTTGCATTCATTAAAAAGTAAGAATGATCAATAAAACCTTATGAAACAGTTCCGTAAAAGTCACATCTCGTCTTAAGCTTTTGGGCTCAGCTGCGCTTTCCGCGCTGACCCCAAGTGAACCGTGCTCTGGCACACCTCTTCCAACCGGGCCAGAGCCGGCCAACTAAATCACACCGGAGCTTGATACAATAACAAATAACAAATATAATATCATTTACATAAAATATAATATCATTTATAAATATTAATATATTATATAATGATACATAATCATATATATGTTTTTCACTACTCTTATATACTTACATATACTTAATACATAAAAGTATAAATTCACACACACACACACACACACACACACACACACACACACACACACACACACACACACACACACACACACACACACACACCACACACACACACACACACACACACACACACATATATGTAAAACTCAAATAAAGCTTATCTCTTTAAAAATGCATCTCAAAGTAGTTTTTTAATAAATACAAATAAAAATATAATTTCACAAATTCATTAACAACTATATGCCTAATTGTACTTTTTGCAAACTACATTAAATAATAATTATTGATTTATTTTTAAATATTATTAAAGTACAATATAATCATTTAATCTTTTTATGTTATTTATGTATTTTTCATTAGTCTTTTATTTTATACACATATGTAATAAAAAAACAGACTGCTGTCACATTTAGTTAAGTGAAGACTGAAGGTTAGCTTGTACACATCATAATATCAGTATCGGTTATGGCCATAACCCCTCTTTTAACAGCAATTATAAATACACAAGGGCTCACGCACACACACACATACACACACACACACACACACCCTGACACACCCGCCTCCTTGCTGTTCAATATATTTTCGGTGGGCATCTTTCCCCATGCTGGAACATGACTGATATTAATCTAGAGCCCCACTGATGGTGAATATCTTTTAATTCCTGTCCATCTGCGGTGCACTAATAACTGTGTGTGCATGTGTGTGCAAAGAGTGTGTGTGAGTGTTACAGCTCAGCAGGAAAAATAGAGTGTATAATTGGCTAGTTAATCCCAGCGTGTGGCAGAAGTTTGTTGCTCATCTTGGTGTGTGTGTGTGTGTGTGTGTGTGTGTGTGTACGTACTGTACAAGTCCACAGATAGTCACACACCTGCACATTAATTAAAAGCCATGCCTGGTTAATTAGTATTTCCTTTTCTCTTGTGCATTTCATATTTATTTATATATATTTTATTTTACATCTTTCCGCAAGTGCATGCATAATTTACAGAATATTAATTGCGGTCTTCACAAACAGAAAGGTGCACTGGCTACTTCGGATACAGTCAGCAGTTTTCTGTGTGTGTGTGTGTGTGCAGTAAAGTGCTGTGTTTGTGCACTGCAGCAGGTAGATAACAAGCGCTGCTCCTAACGACCTCACTAATTAACAGCATGGAAACAGAAATGGGCTTTCCATTAATCAAGAGATGTGTGCAGGCCTGCCCAGACAGCATGTCATCCAAACCCTTTGGGGACGAGCGCTAAGGCCCCGACAAACACACACTTAACACACACACACCGAAAATGCATTACTGCCCACATAAACACTCGTGGTCCGCCTTAAACACTGTATTTGAGTAGCCTCGCACCCAACAAACACCATTTCACACATCGCAATGCATTTATTCACAGTCTCTGTTTGTAAAGAGAATCGAGTTGCGTGTTTTTCATCGGCGGCGCCGGGTGAAATGTGTATCCAGCAAAAGCAGGAAAGCGAAAGCAGGAAAAACAGGCTGTGTTTGTGACTGTGACTACAGTGCTTGAGTTTAATCCTCTCTCTTTCTCTCTCTCTCTGCCTCTTCTAATTAAAATCATCTCTGCCACAGACTCGCTCTATCCCTCCCACAGGATTAGGCCATGAGCACTATTGCATTTGTAATTCTGCACAAATGTTTAAACTTCATCTCTCTCCTCTCCCCCCCTCCTCCTCTCCTCGCCGCATCCAAAACCAAGATAATTGCCAGCAATAAGAGAGTGATTAAACAGAGGAGTTTAGAAAGAGAGAGATGGAAAAGTGTCTGAAGGCTTTTGTTTCATTTGCGGCCTGCGAGGCTTGTGTTTGTCAGTTTGTTTGTTCTTTTCTTCCCTTTGATGGACGGATCCAATGCACCTGCACTCTTCTGAACGAGAGCGTGAGGAAGGATTAGAAAGCAGCCTCAGGATTCCCTTTCTATTCATAACACTCATTAATGTCGTGGCACAGTCACATTGCCACTCACATAGAGGACCAGTCATCTGACGAGCTGCTTTTTTTTTTTTTTTTCATCTGATTCACTATTCGTGAGGATATCTCTTGGACGTGTCAAATAAATGCATGTGCGAGTTGTGTGTTAAACAGTGTTTTTCAGCTGGTCGGTTGATAGACTTAGAAATTATGAAACAAAAGCATCCACATAGTTGCATATCAAGGTTATAATAGTTCTTGACTTTTGTTTTCAAATTCAGTTAGTTTTAATTAGTTTTAAGAGCTAGATTTGCTAGTTTCTATTAGTTTTTATATTTTGAAATAGCTAAGTTTTAGTGTTCATTTTGTTCTTTTTCTAAAAAAGGATATTTGTTAGGTGCAAGATTTAAAATCATCAGAATAAATATTGTGTAATATGTGGCGGATTTAGGCATGGGCAATATGGGTGATCGCCCAGGGCGGCGTCTTGCTGGAGGCGGCATAGGGAGATGGTGCAAACAAAGTGCCCCAGTAAAAGCTTTGAGATAAGATTTACTTTATGCAAGTGTATTCATTTAAAATGGTAATAAATAAAGATGTTAGAGGCCAAACTAAAGTTTATATCATATAATGATGATGTTACTTTGACTAAGCATGGCTATGAAGCAGAAAGGAGGAATAATGAGTCAGGGAGGTAACTAAGCCTTCATATTATTAATTATCGGCCATGAGTCGGGTCCAAGACAACAGATAATTCTATGAAACATATATTTTTTGTATTCTATAGAACTGTCATAAATAATATTCATGCAAAAAACTTTGAATATTACTCCAGTTCTGTCTTTACATTGTTTTTCAATTAGATTTAGGACTGATTTCTGTTAATTATTTAGAATAATAGTTGTAAATAATAATAATAATAATTCTAAACAAATTGTTATGTTTATTGAAAATGAAAAATATATATTTAAATGTATTTATAATAATAATTTTAAATGTACATATTTAAAATATATATTTAAATATGTAAAATATATGTATAAAGTCAACCACAAAGTGTCTTTATTTTTGGGGGGATGGAGAGGGGGTATGTTTGGGGTGGTTTAGCCCAGGTGCCATTTAAACTAGAACCGCCACTGTGTATAATGAAAACTCAACCAAAGACATTTCTTGAAACATGTATTCAGAGGACACACGAACACTACCATCTACCCATCCTCTAATTCAAATACAACAGCCCACAAGATGGCTGCCTTAAGGACAATATGTGAGCAAGGCCACTTCTGAGGTTAGATGCACAGTAATGATGGAAAGTTCGGATCTTTAACGCTAACTGGATGTTTTGTGACAATCCTCCCATGTTAAGACTCAACATACCAAAAATATGTTGTAAGCAATTATAATTTAAGTCATTACCATGATCTGAAAACTTTCTTACAATTATGGTTTGTAACCCAACTTAAGCGTGATTCACTTATTTAAATTCCATTACGGCTTTCTGAATTAGTTCAACCAGTTCACTTGTAAGATCCGGTTAAAAAGAATCGTTTGTGTTTGCAATCACTTATACAGAAATAAAACCCATTATTGGGCACCATTTGTTAAATGAATAATTTTAAGTCTCTGTTTAATGCTGTCACTGTGCTGCTGTCATGTCCAGCCGTTGTTTTTGTTGCGGAAGCAACAGGAGGACCAGCTTGATCCGGCCAATGGCATCAGGATCACAGACTTTGAGATGGCATACAACCGGGTCAAACACCGGGCAGCGCAAAGTAAACAGATTTACTTGTAAAAGATTTAAAGTATCTATTAAATACATTTACAAAAACAAAAACGAAGGATGCTTTT